TTTTTTAAATGTTTTTAAATCTTTAAATCTATTTTTCCTAAATTTGATTCCATTGGAACCATTTATTTGCCTAATTACTTTGCAACTAGATGATTCTCCCGCGTATATGCGGATAAATTATTTAAATAGTTTTATTTTTAATTTTAGTGTTTAAAAATGTGAAATATGTATTTGTTTTGATTTTTATTATAGACATTTTTGTTGTTTCTTTTGTTCTTCGGTTTTTTGGTCAATACTATTATTTTTATTAATAATATGAATTTCAAAAATTTAGTTTTATCATCAAATTATTTTATATATGTAAACATGTCAAATCAGAATGTATAACAATTTAATACGTTAGAGTTATAAAAAAACATGTTAAATTTGGCTTGTCCGAATAGATTAAGTAAAATTTATAATACAAATAAATTATTTAATATTTTAAAACATTAAAATAATTTTATAAATAAAATACAAATTAAAAAAAATTGTTGCTTTCGAATTAAAAATTGTTTTTATTACTTTCAAATTGTCTTACGTTAAAAAACATTTTAAAAAATAATTATATTTGTTGTTATTAACTTGGGAAGTTTTTTCACAAACATATCAAAATCTCTTTTAAAAATTTTGGTAATTGTTTTATTATTTTCAAAAAGAATATATATTCTTTAAAAATGTTTTATAATTTTATTATTACAATTATTATAATTTCAGTGGGCTAAGTAATTTCGCTTTGAGTGGTCGATTTAAGGGACTAAGTAATTATGATTAGTGGCCTTAATTAGAGAGTCAAATTGTCATGTCTTATTTTATCAATATCATGTCATAATAAAAATGAGAGAATGATTTTAGAAAGGACACTTAAGCTAATCACTTCTCTATTAATATATAAAAGATAGATTTTTGACATGCGGTAAGCAAGGGAGGATTGAAGAGCAAGATTAAAATATCAAAAAATATTTATAATATATACAAAATTTAGAAAACTATTAAATGATACATCTACCATATAATGAATTAAATATATTTTATATTGCAAATATATATTTGCATAACATTAAGTTTAGATGTAAACACTTTTGGTATTAAATTGAATATGGTTGAGATTATAGTTTTTTTTAAAATTTGTTTGTTACAATATCAAAGATTGATTTTATCAATAAAATAATCCATAGAAATTTAGAAGTTCAACCCAAGCAACCAAAAAAAAATCATGTTTTAGCATGTAAAAGTCTTTTAAAATAAAAATGCCAAGAGGCATATTAAATAGAGAATATGATACATGTAATAATTCGTTAGATATTAATATAAATTTTATAAGGTGAATTTAATTTCTATGATATAAATGCATATTAATATAATTTTCACAACTCTAGTTATATGATATTTAAATGCACATTAATATAATTTATAAATTGAATTTTAAATAACATCAATTAAAAATTATTAATCTTTAAAACATTATGTTATGTAATATTTTAATTCAAAATATTACGTTTATTTGAGAATTTATAAGACATATATTGATGAGTTATGTTATATAGAAATTATGTGGAAATTCCACCATAGCATATAGTACTAACTGAAATATTTTGATTGGTCAATTTTAGTGATGTGTCCTTAAGTTAAAACCTTCTTTAAATGATACCTAAAAAAATTGGAGCAATTGCAAGAATGTCATTTTTTGTGAGTACATTTGCAAAAATAAAATTTAGGAATGTCCATTTGTAAAAATACCACTAATTATAGATTTATAAAACATATTTCTTAAAATTTTAAACCCTAAAAAATGTGTTGACTCCTAAACCCTCATAAATCATCATAACTAAATCTTAATAGAATATAATTAATTCAAACAAAACTAATATAAAAAAAAAAATTGAAAAAGTGGTGTTTTTGTAAAGATTTCAAAAATATAACATTTTTGTAATTCAAGTGGCATTTTTTGAAAATTTTCAAAAAAACTTTTAGCGTCTCCTCAACTAATATATATAGGATCTCATCTAACTTAAAATAAATTGAATCTCTAGAAAGGAAATCAAATACATTGGAATATAGGATATGTCAGTTATGTGAATATATTGTTTTTAAAATTTGATTCAAATCAATTACATGATTACTTTTTAATAAAAATTGAATTAATATTGATTAAATTTGGAAATTTTCTTATAAATTATATTGCTTTTTCTGTTTTTGGACATATAAATATTACTATTACTCTAACTCCAATTACCAAACACATTTAAATATTCATAAACCTGTGAACAACAATTATTTTTAAAAATTTAATAATAAATCTCACCGTTAAAATTAAAAAATAACAAATATATAATTCGATAAAATTAAAATATATTCTTTTAATTTTTATTTTAAAATCGACGAGTATGTAAAAGAATTATTTATAATAATTTTTAACAATAATTGAGAAATAATTAGATGCATTAAAGATAAAAAAAATATTATTTGATTTTGTTTTGAAAACTTGTGTGAACGATACATACATGATACATAAAGATACTAATACTAAAACTGTGGAAAAATAATAAATCAAATATTATATGATAAAATCAGCTAATCAATCCCAAAAATATAAAATACATAAACAAAGTTAAAATTTACTTTTTATTATTTAGTTTGGTTCGATTTTTTATAATTAAAATTCGGTTCACATTATTTACTATAAATTTTCTATATTTATTTGAATTATTATATAATTCCATTTGTATTTGAATTGATAAATTCTAATTAGGTTCGATTCATTTATGCATTTTTCTTATCTCTAGGTAAAATACATTTTTATACAAAATATATTCAAATTCAAATATATACAATCACATTTCGAATTCCATATAATTGTGTATATTCATTTTATATCCCGAGCACAGCGTGGATAATATTCTAATATATATATTAATGGAGAAGACATTATGAAACAATATCATAAGTGTCGTTCAAAAGTGTTTTATGGGACACATCGTATAATTTAACCAATCATAATATATCAATTAAAATTATGTGCCATTGTGGAAAACTCTTTATATTCTCATTCATTTTAGAAAATTTTCATGAATTTTCAAAAATACCACATTTTAAAAATCTTTGCAAAAATGCTATTTTTTTAAATATCATTACTCAAAA